TAAATAAAACATGAGGAGCTGTATGATCACGTCTTTGCCTAGGCGCTATCCCCTGATGTACCTGAAACAACAAACTGAAATTGTAAGCCCGAAAGCTTAGTGAGTTCCCATAATATACCCATACCCACGACAATACACATATAATCATAAATAGCATACTACGGGTCCAGTCAACCATTAGGTTGGAATACCCTAGGCCCTCAACCAATCGATTGGAATGCCAACATACTATGGGTCCAATCATCCTTGGGATGGAATATCCCCAAGACCACAACCAACAGGTTGGAATGCCCAGTCTATTGGCTTTCACACAAAGCGTATAAGCCTCAACCGCCAAAAAAATATGTGCACATATAACAAATAATCACATAATAGTCTATAGACAATGAACTGATCAAACAAATCATACCACATAACACATAATACCATCCTATCTATCAGGATATCAATCTACAGATCATACTAGCATATCACATAATACTATCCTATATCTAGGACACCGACCTAACCAGGTCACTAAGCATAAACATAACCTCATCCTAACTACCAGGATGAAAACCAATAAACATATCATGCCATAACCGGATACAATCCATAAAGGGTCGACCTTGGTGCCTTAGACCCTGTTGATATAGTGGGGACAACTCACCTCGTAAGTAGTGCTGAAGTACTGTAAATCTCTTACTACTGTCCCGCCAGAAATCCCAAACTATTACACAATAAATACCAAGTTAATACCCAACATAACCTTCCTGACTAAATGTCCACACCATTCATTAAGTCATTCTCTTTATTGGTTCAAGGACCAAAATACCCATTCCTTGACTTGAAAGTCCATATATAAAGCCCATTATTGATCCAATTTACTAAATTAGGCCCAACTTCCTAATTGGGCCTAACCCCATGTTCCACTATCACTTACTGGGCCCAAAATATCTTATTTACAAAATCCAGCAAAGGCCTAATTCCATTTAGTCCATAACCAGCCCAAAATCTAAAGCCCATTTGACAAAGGCCCAACCAAGGACGTACGTTTGGCGTACTCCTCTGGTACGCGGGGCGTACTCGTCCAGATATTGACCACCATCGGGGTGGTTGATCAAGTACGCTGGACGTACTAGATTTATGTTGGGCGTACAGTGTACTCAACAGTTTGCCAAAACCTTATTAGGTGCTTAATGGCTTAAACACTTAAGCCCAAACTTCAGATCCAGAGACCTAACATTCCTAGGATCCATAAAGTCATGAACTTTATCACTTTGGATGTCCATAAAGTTCTAAATACTTGGTCTTAATCCATTAAGACCCTATTTCTCCATACATGAGACACATACGGCTAATGGGACCTCATTTTTATCACTTAATGTCCCTTCAAGAGTCTAAAAGGATAGCCTTTTTCGTCTAAATCACATCATGCACCACCTTATGGCTTTTGGGACAAGAAATGCTCTCTATTAAAGTAAAATGGTGAGATCTATGCATATATACATAAAGTTTGGAACTTTATAACTCCTGAAGCTTCTTAAGCACAAGCTAACTTTAGATCTACAAGCTTGATCTTCTTCTCCAACTCTTTGATGCAATACCTTCCTCTTAAAGCACTCAAGAACACACCAAATAAGCTTAAACACACCAAGGAAAGGCTAGGGTTTGGGGAGGACGAGTGTAATCTGTGGAGGTTGAGGTAAAGGAAGTTTTGATGCTCATAATGTTGCTTATATAGGCCCCAAACCCTAAATATTAGGGTTTCACCCTGACATCAGTACGTCCAGCGTACGCAAGTGTACGCCTAACGTACTAAGGCGGACCTTGGTACGCTTAGCGTACTCTTATATACGCGCAACGTACTCCCTCTTGGCCCAAGTTGCAAACTTGGCCCTTAAACTTATCTTGGTTCTTCACTTCCAACCCCAAGGACTATAAATGACAAGGTAATGATAGAAAAGGGTTCGAGAATACCTACCAAATCTCGGAATGTTACACTTTGTGTAATTTTATATGTAATAAAACTTTGCAAGTGTTATTGAAATTTCTGATTGTTGTCTCAAATCTCAACTAAGGTACAAATGGCATTGATGAAGTTTCTCAAACAATTTTTTTTCTTGTTCATTTTATGAGTCAAGATTATATGTTTCTTCAGTTTACGTTAAATTTTAATTGTTTTTATTTTTGTTTGGTAGATTGCAGTGTAATTATCAACTGAAACATTTTATTCAACACAACACAAAACAGAAGGTTAAATAGTCATATTCAGCATTTAACACATTAATCAAACAAAATGTTTGAATCAAATGTTGATTTAATCATAGCAATAAACCTTATCAGAGGTTTAATTCAATCAGATCTAATTCGGTCAAAACAACTATCAAACATCCCTAACTCAAAGGAGTTTAGCCTAGTTCCAATTCAAAAAATCGTGTCACGTTGTTGTTGTTGTTGTTTTTTTTTTTTTTTTTTTTTTTTTTTTTTTTTTTTTTTTTGATTACAAGTTTAGCATGGTTCAAAAATAAAAAATAAAAAACTTTCGCCTTAAAACCACGTAACCTTTTTAACGGCTTGGTTATATTTTATTTATAAAAAAAACACACACACAAACAGTTATCTTGAAATATGAGTCTTTTAATGTTTTAATGAACAACTCAATTTTTAAATACAAGTAAAATTAAACGAACAAAACACATTACTAATTAGCTAAATTTTATATCTTACCTTTTTAATTTAATAATATAACTTTTGTTTCACATTAAAAACCGTTGATCAATTCATTTGGGCCAAAATGAATAAAAATAAAATCCATTTAAAGAGTAAGAGACACCAAATCATCTTTTTAACAAACCCAAGCACTCAACCAACACCCTCCTAACCTCATTTGTGGATAATTGCAGTCTTTGTCCCTCGATTTTTTTATTCATTTTCCAAAATATTCCCAATTAAAGAAGTGTCCAACTCAAAGCCGCCCCCCATATCCAGAGAAGAAAAGGATAAGAACCCCCCATTCTTTGCCTTTTCTTCCAAGCTTTTCTCCCTTCTTTTCAAGGCATCCCTTTTAGAAATAGTCGATCATCTATCGACGCTTGATTGATTTTTAATTTTGCGAAGGATCAAAGGAAGAAATCAAAGTTTAGAAAGAAATAAAAATAGAAAGAGTCTTGAAGAAATTACAGAAGATGGATATGATGTATTACCCACTTGGGAGGTCTTCTTATGAAGATTCTTTGAAGGTTATTGAGGCCGATATACAACACGCTAATGCTTTGTAAGTTTTCTTAACCTTTCTTTCTGATTTTTCATATGGGTTTTTGTTTTTTAGGGCTTTGTGTGTGTTTTAAGGTACTCATACTTGGTTATGGTGTTTGAGTCTTTGGATTTTAGCAACAATTGACGATTTCAATTTTGCTATCTGGGGAAAGTTATCGGAAATTGAAAAAGCAAAACTATCATGCGATTTTGAAATTTAGTTCATAAAGGTGGAATCTTTGATGAATCATGGGGGAAAAGAATCAAAGATTATCAAAGAAACTGGTTTTTGGTGGTTTAGCTCTTATTATCAAGATACTTCTGTTAATTAAGTTCATCTGGAATTTTTTGGTCCAAAGTTGTTGGCATACTAAAAAGATTTCTTTTCAGTTAGTGAAAAACACGGGTTTATAAATCCAAGCTCTTGAGCGCCTATGTTCTTCCTAGTTCCTTTTGACTTCTGTAAATTGATTGAATTTTTGAACCATTTTATTGGCTTTTCCTGAAAAGGAAAAGCGAAAGTAATATAGTTTGCACGAAATCAACCAATCGCAATCGTTAATTTTCGAAAAATAAAGCTTCTTTTCATTTTCGCTAAAAAAACATTATCTTCAAATAAAATGTGAAGCGTGATTGTTTGAAAAGTCAACAAACTCAAGTTTTAACACATAAACAAATATATATATAAGATTTTATTAGTTGTATAGATGCTTCACGCTTCATAAACTAATCTACTTTAAAGTTTCCAAATTCTGATTTTTACTTTTTTGAATTTTCAGGGCTGCTGCAATTCCTAGATCAAAAGATGGCGCTCGATTTCAAATGAAATTAGTTCATGATCAATTGACACCTCTCATTATGTTCTTGCTACAATGGGTCGATTCTTCTTGCACGTGTCTCCTTCCTAGATACTTGAATCTTTTCCATGTTCTTGTTTACAAGGTTAGTTCTTCAATTTTCAACATCCATGGAGTAAGTGTTATAATTATTTTTTAGACTGAATAAATGACACGTAAATATGTAAATTGTGTTTTCTTTATAGGTATATACAGATGGAAGACCAAAGATTTCTAGACATGGAAGAAAAGCGACAGTTAGTGACTTTTATGGTTAGTCATACACAATTACACATACAACGCTACAATCATTAAAACGTTTTTTTTTTTTTTTTTTTGTGTGCAACGTTTTAAGATTTTTCATTGATAAAAATATGATTTAAAATATGCAGCTGTCATATTGCCATCTCTTAGAAGGCTACATTATGACTTGATGGAGCTCGACAACACTACTAAAGGAGAGAGCTCATCAGAATTAGTAGTTTCATCCCAAAAAAAAACAGAAAAAGACGATGAGTTCTCTAATATTGATTTGGAAAGAGAAGATGAATGTGGGATTTGTTTAGAACCTTGCACGAAAATTGTTTTACCTAATTGTTGCCATGCAATGTGCATCAATTGTTATCGTGATTGGTAATTTTGTAATTTACTAAACATCTTGCATTGTGTTTTTTTACTTTTTACTTTTCTTTACTCATTAATACATTGATACGTTGTGATAATCTAATAATCTTGTGCTTGTTTTCTTCAGGAACTCAAGATCAGCATCATGCCCATTTTGTAGGGGAAATATAAAGAGAGTAAAGTCACGAGATTTATGGGTTCTTACATGTAATGATGAAGTTATTGATGCGGATCTTGTTTCAAAAGAAGATTTGGTTCGTTTCTATTTATACATAAATAATCTCCCTAAAGATTCTCCAGATGCCCTTTTCTTCATGTTCTATGAGTATCTAATATAACAAGATTTACATAATTTATTGTATAGAAAACCCCAATGAGACAAAAAAAAAAAAAAGCCGACCCTTGAAATGTAAATAGAGTCAGGTTGTAATTATATTTCCTTCAAATTGTTACATCAAAATAAATACAAACTTGTTTATTATTATGTTATACTCTAATCTTATTCTAAAAAAAAGGTATACACATAACACACAATATCACTTTAGCAAGAAAAAGGTGATTCATGTTAGACATTTGTCTCACCTTCTTACTTTTAGGACACCAACTAATGTAAATGTAAATTTGAGTTTTACTCGGGTGTTTGTGTCTTTATAGAGACTTTGACTTTGGTTTTTGTTATGAGCTGTTTAAACGGTGGATTTGTACACCCTTGATTAAAAAATTGATCAGTCATTTGGTAATTCATAGCTTCGGTGGGATGAATTCCATCCCAATTGATGTATTTGCTTGGATCTTTACACACTGAAGTACCCGAAGATCCGCATATCGATTGAATATTGAAGTTGAGGTCGGACTTTTGGCCACTAAATCCGCAACAAGTTTTATGGGTTTCTTGAAATTGGTATTTTGTTGGGTTGGATACGATTGTGAAGTATGCTTTCCATGAATCGGCGTATATGATTGTGACATCTGGGAATAGTTTCCTTAAGATTTCCAATTTGGTTTGTAGGATTCCGTTGTGGATCATTATGGCTCCGTTTACGATTGAGGAACACCCGGATTTGTCACGTTGGTTGATGGGACATGATGTCACGTCTACTGGGAGACAACCGACAGGTGGCAACCCTTGGACTACTATGTTCTTTGCTCCGGTTTTTATAAGTGTCTGGGTTGCAATATATATGTTAGTAATAATAACACTGATGAAGCCAAAAAGAAGTTCAATTATGATTTCATGGTTACCAATGTGTAGTGGCAATAGGTAAAATGAGTCTCTTTGTTTAATAGTTTTTCCCCAATTGAATAAACAGCTAAATTGATTGGACCGGACTAGACTTGATAAGTTTTGTTTTTGCTGACGAGTTTTATCATGTCTTTTGCATAGATAAAAGATTCATCCTCACATGTTTTTAGTTTTAGGTCAACAAGATAAAAAATTGCTACTTTTATCATATTGACCTTGACCAAAGGTGTCAAGACACCTTTTGCATTGATGAAATATCAAGTGCGAGTCCCGATCTTATTTTGTTTAATGTGTTTGGGTGGGACAAACTTTGCATTCAATGTCTATCAAAATGTAAGACATTATTTTCTGTCATGTTCAGTCTAGCATAACAAATAGATATATTTTGTCATTCATAACATATCTGTAATACGTACCCGCACAAGTTCAATCACGTATAGAGTTGACGACCGAGCTATCGAACGAAGTGAAATCGGAGATCCAACCGCACGTGAATAGTCATTGAGTCCAATATCCCCAACCCAAAACAAAGCCGTGTTCAATTTAACCTTACATGCTTTTTGATCCAATCCTTTACAAGCATGATCTACTTGAAACTTCTTGAACCAATCAAGTTGAGTCCAAATACCTAACGGTGTGCCTTTCCATAGAAACGCAGTTCGAACAATCTTAGCCAAAAGGTCAACCGCAAGAGTGGTGGCTCCAGCAACCGCAAAGTTAGCCCCGGAGGTGAAGTTAGCTGTGGTTGATTGGTAAGGAGGTACGACAGGTAAACCGAGGGAATCGGTGATAAAATCAAGAACTAATCGCCCATCACATAAGCGGTTTGAGGACTTGCCAAATGTGGTGATGCCATAGGGTGAGCTCAGGGACCCTGAGAATGATGCTTTGAGACCACCCAAGAATTGGGCATTTCCGGTGTCTGTGTAGGAGTCTCCAAAAGCATAAACGGCGGTGAAATGACCCTTGAAGATACCATGGAAAGGAGTTGGTTTTGGAGGTTCGTTTGGTTCTTGTGGTGGTGGTGGTGGTTCTTGTTTCTCCGGTTCTTGTGGAGGGGGTTCGATCGGCTCTTGTGGTGGTGGCGTTGGGTTTTGGATGGGCTCTTGCGGTGGTGGTTTTGGGTTTGGGGCCTTTGGTGGAGGTTTTTGTTTCTTTGGGATGGATGGAGGTGGAGGACAATTCGGGTTGGATGGAGGTGGGATGGATGGAGGTGGAGGACAATTCGGGTTGGATGGAGGTGGAGGACAATTCAGGTTGGATGGAGGTGGAGGACAATTCAGGTTGGATGGAGGCGGGTTGGATGGAGGTGGAGGACAGTTCGGTTCGTGTGGTGGTGGTGGAGGTTTATGTTTCTTTGGGTGAGATGGAGGTGTACAATTCGGGTTGTCAGGTTTTTCATGTGCAAATGTGGGACAAAGAAGTAAGGCTACAAGGAGAGCGAGAAGAGGGAGATATATAGATTTGATATTTGTCATTTTTGAGTTTTCAAGAATCAAATCTTGATTCCTTCAATTTGTTTTTAGATCATGAAATCTTAGTCGTTTTTATAGAATATGGTTCCTGACTTTTAGGAACAAGAAAGGTGAAAACTTGTTTGATGGTTATCGGCTGGACTTTTCATAAATAGGTGGTGGTTTGTATAAAATCTATTCGAATGCAATTATCCTATTTCTAAAACTTGTGTGATTCTCTTATTCTCAAAAAATATAGGGACATGCATTTTCCTTATTAAAACTCTTAACGGCACAAACATTTTGGGTTGTTAATAGGTGATCTCTTTTTAGACTTTATATACAACTTGTGTATGGGTATAGGGTTTTTCAAAATAAGTAATAAACGAAAGTTGAATCGTTCAATGATTATTATTTTTTTTCGAAATAGACAACCCATAATCAAATAATGTTGTGCATAGGCGGCTCCATGTCGTGTCACGACCTAGTATGAAATCCTATGTTTCGTATCACTTATGATTTATAAAAAACTAAAAAGGTTTATGTCTCTTTAAATAAATTACAAATAAACAACCTCAAGGTGTACAGAGTTGGTGGTTTTTCATTGGATGGGCAGGTATCGGTGATACTACCATTCATGTTTTTTTGGAAACGGAAAACAATTCAGCAGAAGTCTCACCACAATATTTCAATGGTGACTCTGATTTCGAGCTCATTTACAGCGTAAACTCAGCATTTTCAGGAAAAACTTCTTACACATTGGTCATAACTACAGAATACAAATTTAGCATGTTCTACAATCTGAACTTTTGACCTCAAACCCGGTGTAACAATCCAGCTAGGTTGGACAAACTTGCAACCCAATATTTTCATGTGTATATATTGCATCGATGTTCGACGGCTTGATGGTCTCTCCCAACCCAATATTTTCAAAATATATTTTTCCCCCACATTTATTACCTATATAACCTGCTAGCTCTCAATCAATTCAAAAACCACGCTAACCTTCTAAACACTCTACTTATATTCAAACTTTCTTCAAGGGAGATGATTTGTACACTAACAAATTTTCTCCATACACAACAATTGATGCTTCAAAATGTTGTACCGTACAACTCTATAAAGCATGAATTATTGTGTATAGCAAAAAACTGTTGTGTACAAATCACTTCCCTTTCTTCAATTCCACTCCAATTTTTTTTTCTTCAATTTCAAATGGATCCTGACCGTAGCAAATATATATATATATATATATATATATATATATATATATATATATATATATATATATATATATATATATATATATATATATATATATATATATATATATATATATATATAACAAACCGAATACATACATTATAACTAAAGGGACTAAAAACAAAAATATAAAATAAAATGATATAAAGAATTTTAATTACACCGGATTAAATTTGGGTGCCTCCAGCTAGTCTTTTCAACAGCAATATATCAAAAAGTCAGCATTAAAAAACCTTTTTTTAGAACGAACAAATTGCAAAAAAGGATGTGTTTTATCATTTATGGACTCAAAACTTTGTTCACTATTATTATTATTATTATTATTATTATTATTATTATTATTATTATTATTATTATTATTATTATTATTATTATTGGTACTTGGATGCTGTAAGCCGACTTTTATCTAAAACTTGGATGTAATTTTTTTAATTACACGTATAGTTATATACAAGTTTTGAACTATACATTTTATTTCTTAAAATTATATTTTGTGCTTTTACTATGTTAATTAACTGAAATCTTTTTAGCTACTTTTAACATTCCGTGAATAGGTCTAGGGCTGTTTATTATTTGTTTAAAACCGAATTATTCAATTGGATTATTTGGTTAGATTATTCGGATTTTTGGATTAATTTTAAGTTAAACCGAATTATTATTTTTGGATTTCAGATTGGTTTTGGTTTATAAAATAAGAACCGAATAGTCCAAAAAAACTGAATAACAACTTATTATTTATTTTTAATATATATCTTTAATCATTTATAAATTTACTAAATTATTTTTTTAATTATTAGAAACTTTCAATCAAGATAGTACTTTAATATGTACTTTTTATCAAAAAAAAATTTGTCAATAAAATATTAAACTATAACTAATTTTTCTTAATAATTGTTTATAAATTATAATTCATAACTAAAAAGTTTTATTTAGTTACTTTTAAAATGTTAGCTAATATTTAAGTTATACATTATTTAAAATATCTTGCTTCTTAGAAACCGAATTGTAAAAACCGATCCAACTCTAATTTGGTTGGATCGGGCCGGATTTGAATTTAGTTTGGGTTATTTAGATTCATGTTTTGAAAACAAAATCTATTTGAATTCACTTGATTGAATCAGATTAAACCGATCCATCCAAACGAACACCCCTACGTATTACATGCTAAAAAATATAATAATAATAATAATAATAATAATAATAATAATAATAATAATAATAATAACAATAATAAATTTTAACTTGTTCCAACAATTTTCTTGATGTATAAGATAACATCGTCTTTAGTAACTTTTTACATTTTAATTATATAATTTGTTAAATTAATATATTTTCTATAATTAAAGGGAAATTGAGTATTTTAAACCCCTTTATAATGCTATTCTATCAAAAAATAACTATAAAACTTTTATTATGTAAAATAACCACTATGTCCGGAATGACCCATTCCATACCCGAATTTTGTATTCGGTAAATGGGTATAGGATCTGACCCGATAATGTGATTCTTCCTATAAATAGCATTTTTAACCTATTTCAGACTTCATTTCGAATATCATTATGGGCAACATTTTAGACACCAATCAATTGAGACAATGTCTTTTTCTAGCAATAAGAGTACCATTTTTGTAGGTGAATTGAGTAATCTAACCACTTTATAATGTTGCTTTATAAAAAATAAACAAAAACTTTTTATTTATGTAAAACAACCACTATGACCAGAATGATCAGTTATGGAGCCAAATTTCGTATTCAGTAATTGGGTGTAGGACCCGACCACGTAATATAGTCCCCCATATAAATAACATTTTCAGCCTATTTCGGACTTCATTTCGAACTCACTCATTTCGGACACCAATCACTTGAAACAATGTCTTCTTCAAACATTGAAGAGTACCATTTTTTATATGCAATTTCGATTTCTTTATAATTTTATGTCTTTAATTTAGGTTATATGTTAAAAACTAGATAACATATGTAATAATATAGATATTTTTGTTTTCCTTCGTTTTTTAGTGGTTTTAGGTTATTGTAGGATTACATGTGGTTATTTGTGTACACTAGATCAATAAAACTCAAAAAGTATTCTAATTCTGACTTGTCCAGAACACATCCAGAATGCGTAGAGCATGTCTGGAATGCGTAGAACACGTCCGAAATGTTGATCCGAATTTTGGTTCAGGAATCTGCTGATACAAAATGGTGTTCTGAAAAGTCCTATGGAACATATATTTAGTCTGGAACATACAACAAATGCCTAATTAATGATTATTTTGATTGTAGCATGCAGAACATAATAGCGGTTGTGACTACAACATGCAATCCAGAACTCGGTGGTGACCAAAGATCGGGTATTATCAGGCTTAGGACCTTTGAGGAAATGAGATTTGGACCTATTTGGATGAGGGTGATGTCAATTTAGATTATCCGGGGGTTCGATTTGTGTTTTGGAGCCAATGGGTATTTTGGTAAAGTGTCACCTCGGACTTTTATGGAAACTAGATTTTATTTGGGAAATTTTAAGGCGATTATGAGATAATAAAAGCATAGAGCTTCTCGCTACCTTTTCATGGATATAAGGATTGTCGAAATCGGATTTATTATGAAGAAATTATGGCCTTCGGAGGAGTTTAGGGTTTAGGGAAAACCCTAGTACGCAGGGCGTACACAGGGAGTACATAGGGTGTACTTGTACTAGGGGTGAGCATAATAACCGAAAAACCAAACCATAACCAAATTAATCGATATAACCGAACCATAATAACCGAACCGTTTTAAAAACCGTTGGTTCGGTTTTTAATTTTTGTTAACCGATAACAAATGGTTCGGTTATGGTTTTATAGGTTAACCGAACCATTATTAACCGAACCGTTAACTTTATATTTTAATGCATAAAAATTATAAATTATATATAAAATAATATAGTCAAACTTAATTAAGATCCATTAAATTTTCAAAATATAATTCATTAATCCTCACTTATCAGGAGATGAACATGCAATCAAACCATAAAAGGATGATCACGTAGATTATGCAGACACACACAATTTTCCAATCATGCATTGAATTATATTATTGATTAATGTTGTAATTCATAATCGGCTAATTCTATAATTTGTAAATATTATTCACAATAATTTAATCTTCACACTCATAATCCTAATCGGAGGCTTCTCACACCGTTAATCCCAATCAGATTGTTTTAACTTTATAGTTCTATTCGAATGATTTTTTTTTTTTTTTTAATTTATAATCAAAACTTGTAGGTAAGTTAAGTTTTTAGTTCTTCTTCACTTTATGATATATTAAGAATGTATTTTTTCTAAAAAATTGCTTTTTATTTATTGTTTTTAGTTAATCACATTGAATGTATATGAATGATTATTTTTTTTATACAGATAACACGTAATATAAATGTTTAACTATTTTAGGGATGAGCAAAAGGACCGAACCGGCCGGAACCGGGAACCGGCTTCGGCCAAAATCAAGAACCGAACCGGCCCGGCGGTTCTACCGGTTCCCGGTTCCTACCGGTTCTTGTCGTGTCTTCAAATGTTGAAACCGGTCTTCGAAAAATAGCATCATACGGTTCCGGTTTTTGCCGGTTCTACCGGTTCCGGTTATATCGGTTCCGGTTCCCGGTTCCAAAAATCCACAAAAACAATGTCCTGGTCCCGGCCCGAACGGTTCCATCGGGTTCCGGTTCCGGTGCCGGTTCCGGTTCCGGTACCGGTTCCGGCCGGTTCCCCGGTCCATATGCTCATCCCTAAACTATTTTATTTTATACTTTTTGATTTAATCGCATTGAAAATGTATGAATGTTTGGCTTTATTTTAATATTAATATCAATTA